CACAGAGACAGACACATACAGAGGAGCAGACAGACTCACTGACATACACACAGAGACAGACACATACAGAGGAGCAGACAGACTCACTGACATACAGTCAGACAGACGGAAGGACAGACGGACAGATGGACACACACACACACACACACACACACACACACAGAAACATTCATACATACAGAAGTAGCCAGGTCAGGCTGTCATTGATGACAGCTCAAGTTTTAACACACCTCACTCTGCCCATGGAGATGAAAGGGAGCTCTGGTCAACAGCCACATGCTCCTGTGCCCCCCCCCCCCAAAGGCCAACAATCTCCCAGCCGGCTTTTATCACCCAGGTACAAATTCAAGAACAAGCGCCAGTCAGAATGAGGGAGTGGTAGTGGGGGGTCTGTTTTGGGTCCCCCCCCAGGGGAGATCAAACAGAGAGCGTGGCCGTGTGCTTATCTGTGCGCCCCCCCCCAGCCCAGTTGCGGTGTGCAGGAAGCGGGGGTCCCGGCCGGCATGGTAGTCTGTGGCCGGCTGATAGGCCAGCCCGTGCCGTTATCGCAGCACATCTGTTTCCTGCCGAAACCAGAGGAGAGCCGGAAGACAGACACCTGCATGGATCCAAGAGGGACCCCCCCCCCCCCGAACGCCACAGCAGGAAGGCCGGGAAGTGCTGCTGGGATCACCGCCATGGAGATACATCCCAGCACTCGCAGGGAGAAGATTCCAAGCTGTAATGGACAGCCAGAGTAGCGCCAGTAACCCTAACCATCTACACCACACCAGTTCAGAGACCCCCCAACCAACGCGTGCAGAGATGCCTCCTACACCTAAGAGACGATTTGACAATGCTGCCTATCATGCTGCCCCCTGAGGGGAATCTGACTGAGGTTGGTGGTTCGCCTACAGACACGTTCCTACGAGAACAGCTGCAGTCACACCCCCGCATGGGACAGGGCTATTGGGTAAAGCAGCTCTTCGTTCATGAACTGCCTCTGTGCCACCGCATGAAACCCATGACATCCAATTCAGTGACAATAAACACGGCCGTAAATACGGCCCATAACATGGAACACTTGACGACTGTGCCATAAACTGGAATTTTTACTGGACGTCATTCCCTTGCCCCTATGGTCGGATAAAGAGGCTACTTATAAACATCACACCTCAAAGCGATGCTGCCCAGAGGCAGGAAGACAGGGGACCCATCCGGGCCTTCGGAGGGACGCCACTCTCTCTGCCCCGATGCCCCCTCTTCCAGTCTTACTCCAGGATGTTTTAAGGCTTTTACGTCGCTAATCTTGCCTAAACAAATGGGGAGGGGGCGGGGGGGAACCTTCGAGTTAAGCGGTCCAGTAAGAAGTGGGGAAGGGGGTGTCCCAGGGGACCAGATGGGGAACTCATTACGCCTCACCCCCTCTAACACCCCACCACAGGAGGTCACCCACCCCGGATTAGAGCAGGACCTTTATCAGCCACGCCCTGCGGCTGCGGCCCTGCGCCGGACCGGTGCGGCCCAGTGGGGTCGGGCGCTGCATTAGGGCAAGTGGCTATTTATTTAGCCTTATCTCCGAGGGCACAGCGCGGTGTTAATCAAACGTGCCCTATGAACTCACTAAACACCCCCCCCGAGTGTTGTTCTGCCCCGTAACCTTTCAGGACGGGGGGGGGGGCACAAGAGGAATTTATTGTTGTTGCAGAGGAAATTGATGCAACCCCACAATAATTCAAGCCTGTTGTTTTAATCCACTAAAACTATGTAAACAGGGGTGCAGCCCATGTTCCCTACGTCCACTAAGCATCAACATCATCCACGTAAACAGAACCGGCTGCAGCATCACCATCCCCAGCATGATGTCATAGCCTTAGCAGAGTATTACCTACAGCAGTACTCTCAGCATGCAGGGCAGAGGAACGTAGCATCCTCTCTGCATCGCACACAGTAACACACGCCCCCCCTTTACTCCAGAGGCGCTTGGTTCAGTCCAGGCACAGCGTCGACACTTTGTGGAACGCTCCTGAGCAGTCATGCAGCCATCAAAGTCTGAAGGCCTGTGCACAGCCCTGCTTTCACGGGCAGGACCAGAATCTGCGGAGGTGTACCTGAGATGGACCAGAGATGGGGGGGGGGCAACAGAAGCAGGAAGGCCGTCGGGACGCACTGCTCGCGCCC